ATATCACGAAAATCGAGCGAAACGGTGGCCATTCGGGTGAAAATCTGACGCGCATGCGCGTCATGCTGTCGTCGATGTGTTGACAGGACCCAAACCCTCCTAAAAATTAGTAGGGTTGAAGTGGGAATGGGAATCTCTGAGAGAAGATCAAGATTATTGTTTCTGTTGACCCTTCACTCCATTCTTTATGGCCATTTTAGCCCGCGATCCACAGTAGATCAATCCGCGCTCAATTTCGGGACGATTTTTTAGTAGATCCAGTAGATTAGTAGATTTAGTAGATTTAGTAGATCAGCAGTAGATCCACCCAGGCTCAATTCCAAGCCGATGTTTTAGTCAAAATTGTCGTCACTTATTCAAGTTTGGGTGCCTCCTACAGCCCCGTCATCTTTTAGGACTCCGAAGAAGGCGATTTTGCCGAAACGTCAGTCAATAAAATTCTATATCAATCTCGGAGGCTGAAGAAACAACAAACTTGAATATTACCATAACTATGCCGAGATTAATGGAGAGTCGATCATGGTCTATTCTGTCGTCATTGATTCAAAACACCAGAATAAGCCCCCGTCAAGTGGCAATATTCCCTTTCCGAAATAGAAAGTGCCAGGCGCGAGTTCCAGAAAAATATAGGTATCAAGTTGCCTAGGGATCTGAAGATTCTATAAAGTGCAGAGTAGGGATAATTAAAGGTGGCGTTGCGTCACTGATTTTTATGTTCGGCTTGAGCTACGAGCTTCCCACACGAGTTTCCGAAGTTAGCTTAACATTTGCTATCGCTAGGTTGTCACGGAGACCTGCGTGTGCTGAAGCGCACTTAACTATGTTTCTTGCTTTCCTGTCCGTCTGAATTTAGCCCTCTTTCTAGTCCTCCCATAAAGAATGCCCAGGGCTACCCACTGATTCTCTGACAAGGCCTCCATCTCTTTATGGGAAGTACAGGTACTCCTGGTCAGTCTGAGGAAACGGACAACTTGCCATATGCTCTTATTACCGAAGACCGGCTATTTTTTGCCGTACTAAGGAATGTACCAGATCAGGTCTCAGAAGTAATCAGGGTAGGGAATTGAATTGGATCTTTGACAAGCTGCCATCCAACCCATTCAAACCAGCTTTTCCAGATTTCTGTTGCGTTTTTCAGAGGTAATCCTTTACCAGATTCGTGAACGTTTACAATTGCATAACGCACAAGACCACCATGAATTGCTTGCTTTGCAGCCGGCTGCTGACCATTTTTTCACCTTCATTTTTCCCGGGTCCTGCATTCTCTCTAGGAAATTGCTTATGGCGCGCATTTGCCACTGTCGCTGACGCCGTTGAGTTCGCTCTGCGTTGAGGACGTGCGTATTCGATGGATATTCTCATTACTTGGTTGTATTCGTTGGCTAAAGAGTGCTTGATGTGTGGCCGCGTTCATTTCATTGAAACCAATACCTCCTCTCTTCTCCTCTCCTCGTCGTCTCGTGCGCTCCCTCCTACAGCTGGCTGGCTGGCTGGCTAACTGGCCTGCCGTCAGCCAACGCGGCCTCCGCATCGCTCTTAGCATACAAAATGCTTCATTACTCTTATTTCCGTCATACACCACTGGAGCAGCTCTTGATTACTCTTCATTCGCCTCTATTATAGTTAGGAGAGCAACTGGGGGCAATTACAAAATGCGAGCCATAAATAGCGAGCGTTTCCGGAGGTGAGATGAGGTGGCTGAACTCGGCAGCGGAAATTACTAACGCGACGTCCGACGTTCTTCGTGACTCGAAGAGGGTCCGATGGGTTGACCTCGCTTCGGTTTCTCATCGAGATTTTTCCTCCTTCACTCCGATCAAGGTCGTTCCAATGTAGTCACCTCGCAATCAGAACACACACATTCCCTCAGATCGTTCGCTGCACTCCATGCGATTTCCGTCCCATCTCATTTCTTCTGGGGACGTTTGGAGGGCTTAGTTCAGATACTTCCAGCCCATCTTAAGTCTATAAAACCTAGAAATTTATATGCATAATTGATTTATTAGTTGACTCATAGTTATTTGTTGCATTATTTTGAGAAGATCCTCTACCTAGCTGTTCCTCTCTGAAGAAGTTGCTGCTTGGTTTGAAGACCTGTATGGACGGTTGATCATAACCCCGAATCCGCGATGTGGCGCTGTTTTTGCCATCAGACGCCCTCCAATAAACTATAAACTATCATCAAGCTTTTTCAACCTTTATTTATCAACCACCATTAGAGAATCGCATCGCTGCAAGGCCCCATATCGTCCGTCGCCCTCGTTCTGCCCCTCTTTTGTTCGCCTTCTTTTTATCGTCATCCAAATCAATGCTCAATCAAATCACAATAGTTCCATTGAGAAAAATGTCCCTATCTGTTAGGACAACGGTTTTCCAATGGAATCTCATTGGGAAAGGGTTTGTCCACGGATTCGTTGACACACGGCATTTGTCCACGACCGTATGGGCTGAAGCGGAGGTGATCAAAGAGCTCTTATATCCCTGCTGTTTCAATGCTGAACTTTAGGAGGTAGCCCTTCGACCCGTTCACTCATGAGTCCAGTAAGTAGGGGTATAATCCCTGGTGGCATTCCATAACCCTGTGTCTATGGAAACCATTGACCACGTACTGGTTCTCGGTAATCACTTGTTGGTCCAGCTCTTCCTATTTCGTAGCTCAATCCGCTCCTGAGCGCTAGCAAATCCTTCCACCTCACTAATTGAGCGTAGTTCGTTTCAAGCCTTTCCCACTATACCACTGACCACTCATGAGGAAATACCAGCCCCTTTTGAACCGCTGGTTTAGATTTTGCGATTGCTCGATTTTGTTCACTTGTTGGACTGCATTGGAAGCGTGGACAGCATTCCTTAAAAGGTCCTATGAAGAAGGAGAATTAGGAGGGGAAGGCCGCCGGAAAAATTGCCGGTTGAGAGTAAATCACCGGCAGGTTCCTTATTATGTAAACACCATGCAAGAACTTCATTTCGAAAAAGCTACCGTCGTTCACGTGGACCAGCTGGGCAACGAGCATTTAGGCAAATGATCAATTAGGAAGGGTTCCTATATTGTGCACAAGGTCCAAAATTGTGGGCGAAATAGGGGAAGTAGAATTGGAAGTGGTCCCGATCTGCTTGAATTGACCTGAGTATCAACAGCTTCTCCCCTCCCAAAGGGTTCTACGAAGCCCAGTGCAAAACTATCCTCTCGCTGAAGCTTGGAACAATTCTCCGTCCAACTGGTTGAACTCAGGCCAGACCGGGTCTCACTGAAGCTCTGAGCAACGTTCACCTTTCCCTAACCCCCGCTGAAATTCATGCAAGACCGACTGTCAACCCCAGTGGGGGAAATCGTGGTGGGCAATCGTACATCTGAGTTCCGGGACGAGTAAGGAGAGCTTCACGAAAAGGGTCTTTGTTTTGGTAGATGCTAACTGCCGCAGCTTCGCCATCAGGAATCAGCCTGGCTGGGATTCCTTTGTCTGGCGTCAGGGCGGGTATGTGCGGAGCGACGCGTGTTCGAATGACGTGCATCAAAATGTCTCAGAAGGAGATTCACTGCCAGTGCTTCCGTTCTTCAGAACGTCTTACCATTCATCTGGTGGTGGTAAGCGCTCATCCTCAGGGTCGATCTCCCTCGGGCACCCGTATAATGTTCCCTGATTATAGGTAGCCAGCCGTGATGATGAGCATTCTGCGGCCGTGGCCGTCACTCAAACCAGTCGGCCTTTAGTATGTGACGACGAATATCTTGATGAATTAGAGTAGTCGCCTAGTTCCACGATGACGACGACCACGACGACGACGACGACGACGAATCGATGCGCTCGCTGGTCGAAATTAATTAATCTCTGCATCACCTAGGGCATGTATCTCGCCCCCTCCCTGTTCTACCCAGCCATACACAGCTCATGCAATAGCGTTGGTACCGCTTTACTGGGCTTTCATGCACAGCCGTCGACTCCCTTTTGCTGCCCATCTGGCTTCAACTTTTCGCATCGCTCTCCATTCACGATTCTATCCAAATTTGTTCAATATATGTGTCAGTGGGGGGATGTCATGGCTGAATAATCAAATGCTATCAACGTCGAAGTGAAGTCGCCGCTGCCACCACCACTGCACTTGATGACGTTCTGACTTGAAGTGCAGCATCTTTCCTTTCATTTCGAGCTCTTACTTCCTTCCAGTCGGACTCCATTCCTTTTCTCCTGACTTGAGACTGTCTGAAGCTTTTGCTCCGACCAACTTCCTTCAAAGTGACAAGGGTCTGGATAAAAACTTGATTCATTCCGGCTCTGAGCGGATATGAGCCCTTAAAATTGCAGGGGAATCTGTCCTAATTCTTCACCATGGACCCATCCTAGCCGTATTCTGTGCACCTTTTGTTTAATCAATTTTCCAGCTAGCTAAAAATTATTAGAGGTAACTGGTGATAAATCATCGCTCCCCTTCTTCCACTACTATCTCCTCCATCACGAGGAAAAAGCATCTTTTGGTGCCTATCCCCCGTGTCACTTCTCAGGCTCACCAAAAGATGCTCCTCCCCCGTTTGCATAGCGTTTTGAGCAAATAATCGATAGCCTGATTTCAAAATGTCCAGAATGACGTCATTTTCAATAAAAGCGTCGTTCACTCATTCAATCGTGGATTGAATCGTGAACGATGAGCCGACACGCGGCATTCAGATGTGGAGAAAATTCCGGAAACGAGATGCGAATTGAGTGATTCCGTTGGCGTGTGAAACCGCTTGGTGGCCGGGATCGGGACCCTCTCTTCTCCGCAGCCTTTCTAGGGCCTAGCCCTCCACACCTCCCATTCCTCTCTCGTATACACCTCGGATTCAAGTTTTGTGTTCGTTGTCCGTCCTTCATTGTTCGACGCCACCACATCGATCGTGTGTTTGTGTCGTATTCGTCGCCATCGTCGTCGTTGTGCTATCCTCCCTCGCAATTCGTTGATGTATTGGTCATCATCAGACGACGAAGCGCGTTGCGCCACCTCAGCGCCTTCTGGATGCCAAGAGAATGGCCGCCCAGGTGATGCCGGACTCCTATCCGACCTACGACTCGTTTCGCACCGATCAGGTATCGTTTCATGGCGCTCGTTAACAAGGGGTGAGAATGGAATAAAGAGTGACGGAAAACACTTACTGTCCTATTCATTAATTATTCAAAAACGAGCCTAATTTTTTTCAATTTTACAGCATTCAACAGCAGTAGCTTCGTTAACGATTTCATGATGTATTTATATTTATTTATTTATTTACTTATAACTCATAAGACTGCACCAATGTTCTCGTATAGAAAAAAAACCAGTAAACAAAATGATAGTGAGAAATAAAAAGAAAGGTGAAAGGCTAAGTTGGTGGAAACAGAAGCAGAACAGAACATATTGAGCAGAAACGCTCGGCTACCGAAATCACAGGCTATCACATGATGCAGGGGCATCCTCGAGGACTAAGCTCAGGAGAGGCAGGAACTTCGAAGAAAAGGAATTTTGTTCTCACCACTCTGGAGCCTATCATCTGGCGACTGAAGCTTAGTGTTTCAACAAAAGGGAGGTGGATTTTATATGCATTACCACCATAATGCCCCCGTATCTTGCGATAGCGCCATAAAACTTTTCGAACAAGAGTACGACGGGTACAAGTTCTGTTTTGTAACATTATCTTGAACGGAGGAGGGGGGGGGGGGGTAGATATGGCATAGTGGCACTGCCTAGGACGCGCATGCTACGATGATCAAATCGGATCGTACCAAAACTTCCTACGTGAAAGAAAAATGTGACACGGCTGGTACTAACTAGTTGGCCCGAACCAATCGCAAGCTTGATTAACCGAATTCAATCCAAGTCGTTTCTGTGGGCCATGCTGCACTTGTAGCCGCTGAGCTACGCACCCAAGCAGATGTGCTTCCTTCAATTTATCCTCCTGAAGTTTCTCTACATTTCGGCTAGCTTACAGGCTCGAGCAGATCCAAATCGACTTTAGTAGAGAAAAATGATTTTGAGATAGAAGAATAGAAAAAGAGGAATGATGTCGAGGGCAAAAAAGGCATGTTTGCTGCCGGAACACTAGATTTGTCATGGTTGCCAGAATTCATCTAATAAATACAACGCTATAGCCGCAGAAGTAAAGGAATAATAATAAGAGAATAATATAATAAATAAGAAATAAACGATGATCCCGCGCACGGTTGCTATTTTCATATTTATTTGCCAATTCTTTTACAAATCCCATGGGCACCGTGGTAGTCCTTGATCTTCAGTAAATTGTATATCTGAAGTCGCATTTATGACTCTTAGAAGCCTATTGGCCTTTGTGTAACTCGTATGAGTGCTTTTTCTGAATAGAGCGTGAGCAGGTACACATAACAGAGAAGTAATATATTGAATGTTTCGCTCCATAAGCATTGGAGTTATAAGTTAATATCGAACAATTCACTTATGAAGCGCCATGCATTCGACTTTCATCAAAAATTTAGAAGCATTTGAATGCGTACTTCACGTGTATCGCTCAGGCGTCATCCAGTGTTGGGACTTCTTGCCGGCTTCATAAATTGGGAGCGGTTAAGTGACCTTATGGAACTATGAGCTGTGCTTGACATCCACGGTATCCCAAATTTTGTGGCAGTGCAAAGCCTAGCCTATAAAACACTAACCACCCCTAGCATTAGCACTAGCGCCACATCTACCTCAGCTCTGTTGACCCTTGAACTCTCTGTAAAACGAGAGTTTTTCAAAACGTTGAAAATTGCTACGCGTTATTTCAACGAAAGGCACTAGTAAATTCCTTCCTTGTTTGCCTACGAAATGAAAGTATTGGCCGTAAGACTTCTTCACAAAAATGCTAAATTATGCGCAAAGCTGTTCGCCTCAGGCGGGATTCGAACTCTCACCACTTGCTTACCGGGCAAGTGTGCTACCAGATACTTTACCGGAGTACCACTTCACTTCAACTCAGCTGTCGATGATATATTCAACATAACACGTTATACGTGTGAGTGCTGACGAGTGTGGTAAATATACCATCTGAGCCTGAGTTAAAGGCGGAGTTCACCATAAAAATGCAGCTCATTAGAAATCAAGGTAGAGGTTATTAGTGATGCAGGGATGAAGCAAAACAAGAAAATGGTCTAGAGCAAAGGAGGATGGGACCTCTTTCTGTAAACATTTTGCTGGATTCAAAAAA